GCAATACCGCTGCATCCGTCCGCACAAAGGTCTGCCGACAGGAGGTTTAAGGTTCAGGGTTGCAGGTTGGGTTTAGGGTTTAGGGTTTAGGGTTTAGGGTCTAGGGTTTAGGGTTCAGGGTTTAGGGGGTTCAGGGTTTAGGGGGGGGGTTGTGGTTTTAGGCCTAGGGCCGTCGCATGGAGGTGGAAGATCCCTTCTTGGCCGAATCTTTCCAAGAGGAGGCCTGGAGAAAAGGGTCTAGCGTGTAGGGGCTTTGGGTTCAGGGTTTAGGATGCAGATAGAGACAGCGCTTTGTGGCGGTTTCGGGACGTTTCATGGAGTGCAGTCACGATTAGGACTTCCTCTTTCCGTGAGCTGGATCTTTGAAGCTTGGGTTCTTTTTTCAACCTCACTGCTTTCCCGAGTGCAGTCTTACCTAAGGAGGCATCCTTGCTGTAAGCCTACAGGGTTCCTTACTATAGTTATAGTATAATATACCTCGAAACCCTGTTCTATTTCCCTAGCGTGTTTGTTTGGGCAAGACATGTCCGGGGAAGGGCTCAAGGTCCCACGGATGGAGCCATAGGCAACAGTTTACTACATGCAACGAAGGGTTCGGAATGTCACCAAATCCTACGCTACGAGCTTGAATTCTGTAGATAGCTACTTTTGCGACGTCCCCCCACCTGGCCTCGCGCCGACGCCAATGGAATGTGGGGGCAAGTCTGCTGCGTCAGCTGCGTCAACCGGGCAGATGAAGGAGCCCCCGGCCCCCACCCTGCAACCCTAAACCCGAATTCCTTAATTCCCTAAACCCTAATTCCCAAAACCCTAAACTCCTAAGCCCTAAACCCTAATTCCCTAAACCCTAAACCCCTAAACCCTAAAACCTAATTCCCTAATTCCCTAAACCCCTAAACCCTAAACCCTAATTCCCCAATTCCCTAAACCCCTAAACCCAAAACCCTAAACATGAAGGATCGCAGGAAGCCGTGGTCACTGCAGCTTCCGCCACGAGCGAGGTGGTCCCCATGGTAATCACTGGTTCTGATGACCTGCTGGTCCGGCTGCTGTGGCTTTCGTTACGTTTCGGTCTACGGGGCTGACCCTAAACCCTAAACCCAAAGTGAGGTTTGTGGTGAATAATAATAATCATCATCATCATCAGCATCAGCATCAGCATCAGCATTATTGCAGTCTAGTCGCTAAAGGTAACGGCTATCAGGATAAACCCTTAACCCCCAAAAAATCCAAAACCCGTAAACCCCGTAAACCCTATAAACCCTAAACCCTAAACCCTAAACCCTAACCCCGTAAACCCTATAAACCCTATATAAGCCCTAGAAGCCCTTAAGGGGACCCCATGGAGCCTATAAGAACCCTATAAAAACCCTTAAAGGAACCCCAAAGAACACCCCTAAACCCGAAACCCTAAACCCTAAACCCTAAACCCCTAAGCCCTAAACCCTAAAACCCTAAACCCTAAACCCTAAATCCCAAAGAACACCCCGAGGCTCGAAGGAAATTGGAACCGAGTGGAAGATTCCAAGTTCATGGCGGCGGTCTTCGCTCAGAAAATCAGCTGGGCCAAGAGGCGGAGCATGTTGGACTGAATATAGGGTTAAGGGTTTAAGGTGGTTTGGGGTTTGGAGTTCAGGGTTTAGGGTTTAGAGTTTCGGGTTTATGGTTTTGGGTTTGGGGTTTTGGGTTTAGAGTTTCGAGTTTAGGGCTTTGCGGTCTTCGCTCAGAAGATCAGCTGGGCCAAGAGGCGGCGCTTGTGGGGCGCAATATAGGGTTTTGGGTTTGGGTTTAGGGTTTTGGGTTCAGGGTTTAGGGTTTAGGGTTTAGGGTTTGGAGATTTTGGGTTTAAGGGTTCGGGTTTAGGGGTTTCGGGCCAAGGGTTCTAGCATCGACACTCGCTGCCTACCGAACCGCCCACCCAACACCAACACCCTAAAGCGTGAAGCCGATGCCCTAAACCCTCAAATATGCGAGCTGAATGCCGAAGGCCTAAAGAGCCTTTCTAGCAGACATCGCCAAACAGGTTTAAATCGCCACCCGTTGACATAATGGTGGTGAGCTCTGACAAGATTGCCGTGGAAGTGGAGGGAGAGAAACTAACAGCTTGGTGCCTTGGATCTGTTGGGCATTGAATGTTTTAAGGCTTATTCAGGGTTTGAAATGAGGGATGCTCAGGGAAAAATTTAGGGCTTGGGGTTTAGGTTGAGTGAGCTGGCTTAAGGCTTTAGTTTGGGCGTTTAGGGTCTGTATGTTTCTCTTCAGTGTTTCGGGAGTTCAGGCATCGGGCGGCAGGTTTTCTTGTCTTGTTGCTATCCCTTTTTGTATTGTCTAATCTTGTCGTTCCCACCAAGGGTGCTACTGTTGATGATATAAACGCTGCAGCACCTGGAGGCCCCTAAACTATGGGGATTATGGCATACTCCTCATTGTGGGTAATGCAGGATTTATATCATCAACCGTACCCCTTAATGTATTGTCTAATGTTGTCGTTCCCCACAAAGGGTCCTAACCCTGATCGCTTAGGTTCAACGACAAGGATGAGCTTGTCTGGGATGACGGGGACGTTTGGCAGAAGCAGCAAGAGACGGACGTGAAACCGTCCACACGACGAACCCTCACAATGAAGAAGGGCGAGTAGTAATTCGTAATCTGTATTTTTGATAAGGCTATTTTGTATCTTCTGAGGCTCTGAGGATAGTTGCGAAAGGATTTTTTTCAGGCAAACTCCACACCTCAGTACTGCGAAAAGCAGTGGTCTGGACCTGATTCCTTTCACGTTTCACTCGGCAATGTACCGACTGTTCACAAAGACAAAACCAGTCTTTTCGGGGTAGGAGCATTCAGTCTCATGTAGGGCCCTGGCATGCCGTAGCCCTGATCGCCGTCGGGAAGTTCCTGTCAGATGGGCCCAGAGCGGTGTAGGGCTTCGGGTTTAGTACCCTGCTGCGTTCAAGGCGAATGTAAACCCAACACCTTCGCCGTCTTGAACACGCCTACGTTGGTGTCTGACTTTAGAGAACACGTTTTGTCAGGATATGAGGGGAGGAGGGCTTTCTGTCGAGCATTGCACTATGCAGGCTTTGAGGGTTGTTGAACTATCGAAGACTTCGCAATGTTTGTTCTGGACGAGCGGCGAGAAGTCTCCAGGGCAACCGCAAGCGCTTCGACACGGAGAGGGGAGTGTTTCGATTTGAGTACTTTATCTCTTTTATTTGGGGTGCTTTTGCTGTTCCAGGCTCGTGTTTAAGAGCACTTGAAATCTCCCTAACCGCCTGGATTAGTGGACGGCCTCCCGAAACCCTAAACCATAAGCCCTGAACCCGAAACCATAATATCTTTGACCCTAAACCCCTAAACCCCTAAACCCCTAAACCCTAAACCCGAAACCCTAATACCTTTAACCCTAAACCCCTAAACCCGAAACCCTAATACCTTTAACCCTAAACCCCTAAATCCGAAAACCTAAACCCTTAACCCTAAACCCCTAAATCCGAAAACCTAAACCTTTAACCCTAATTTAAACCCCTAAACCCGAAACCCTAAACCTTTAACCCTAACTTAAACCCTAAACCCGAAACCCTAAACCTTTAACCCTAGTTTAAACCCTAAACCCCTAAATCCGAAAACCTAAACCTTTAACCCTAATTTAAACCCCTAGCCCGAGACCCTAAATCGCCTGGGAGGGCTCCTGGGACCAGCCGATAGACGACCCACCTGCTGACGCTTTGGCGGAAGACGACGACGAGCTCCTTCGCCAGCTTATAATTTAGGGTTTAGGGTTTAGGGTTATAGTTGAGAGGGCCAAAGAGGCTAGAG